CCAATAAAGGACTGGTTTTGCAGGTGGTGACCACAGACCACTTCTCAGTTCCTATGCTTCCTGGCTGATGTTTTGGTCACTTTTGAATGCTGGCGGTGCTTTCACTCTAGTGGTAGCATGAGACGGAGTCTACAACCCACACAAGTGGCTCAGGTAGTGCAGCTCATCCAGGATGGCACATCAATGCGAGCTGTGGCAAGAAGGTTTGCTGTGTCTGTCAGCGTAGTGTCCAGAGCATGGAGGCACTACCAGGAGACAGGCCAGTACATAAGGAGACGTGGAGGAGGCCGTAGGAGGGCAACAACCCAGCAGCAGGACCGCTACCTCCGCCATTGTGCAAGGAGGAGCAGGAGGAGCACTGCCAGAGCCCTGCAAAATGACCTCCAGCAGGCCACAAATGTGCATGTGTCTGCTCAAACGGTCAGAAACCGACTCCATGAGGGTGGTATGAGGGCCCGACGTCCACAGGTGGGGGTTGTGCTTTTCAGCCCAACACCGTGCAGGACGTTTGGCATTTGCCAGAGAACACCAAGATTGGCAAATTCGCCACTGGCGCCCTGTGCTCTTCACAGATGAAAGCAGGTTCACACTGAGCACATGTGACAGACGTCTGGAGACGCCGTGGAGAATGTTCTGCTGCCTGCAACATCCTCCAGCATGACCGGTTTGGCGGTGGGTCAGTCATGGTGTGGGGTGGCATTTCTTTGGGGGGCCGCACAGCCCTCCATGTGCTCGCCAGAGGTAGCCTGACTGCCATTAGGTACCGAGATGAGATCCTCAGACCCCTTGTGAGACCATATGCTGGTGCGGTTGGCCCTGGGTTCCTCCTAATGCAAGACAATGCTAGACCTCATGTGGCTGGAGTGTGTCAGCAGTTCCTGCAAGAGGAAGGCATTGATGCTATGGACTGGCCCGCCCGTTCCCCAGACCTGAATCCAATTGAGCACATCTGGGACATCATGTCTCGCTCCATCCACCAACGCCACGTTGTACCACAGACTGTCCAGGAGTTGGCGGATGCTTTAGTCCAGGTCTGGGAGGAGATCCCTCAGGAGACCATCCGCCACCTCATCAGGAGCATGCCCAGGCGTTGTAGGGAGGTCATACAGGCACGTGGAGGCCACACACACTACTGAGCCTCATTTTGACTTGTTTTAAGGACATTACATCAAAGTTGGATCAGCCTGTAGTGTGGTTTTCCACTTTAATTTTGAGGGTGACTCCAAATCCAGACCTCCATGGGTTGATAAATTTGATTTCCATTTATAATTTTTGTGTGCTTTTGTTGTCAGCACATTCAACTATGTAAAGAAAAAAGTATTTAATAAGATTATTTCATTCATTCAGATCTAGGATGTGTTGTTTAAGTGTTCCCTTTATTTTTTTGAGCAGTGTATGATTAACTCGACTACTAGCACTGAGCTCATAGACTTTACATCTGGGCCGTGCCCCCTAGGCAAGTGTGGCCTAAGGAATTTGTTTTAGTGTGAGGTATGTGAAAATGAAATACAGATTGGTTAGTGTTTACTAGGCCTAATCTATTTGCTAATGGTCAACAGTGAAGTAGACTAAACTACTGTAGTGAGTTTTGTCTGTTAGATTAAATGTAATTTGACCCACCACCAAACGGTAACCAGCAGGTGGTGGTATATAGACGGGTTGAAAACCGAACTGTATTAAATTGTAGCCATAACGCGCTGCACCGCGCACAGCTGGTGGTGTCGGGATATGAAATGAAACCAATAAAAAAAGTATCTCACGCCAAGCCATACTTTGTAACCAGTGCAGAAGACTGCACGCTTTGGACTCACACATTGCACCTTCAAGAGGAATACAACCTGAGCTTCGCGGGGCACTGCGCTACAAGGTTACTGATGTGCAGTCAAAGAGAAGAAAAGCAGAGAAATCTACACATGATGACTGCCGGACTGTGGCCAACGAAACACATTGCTCCAGTTTCGTGATGGCATCGATGTCCGACGTCGTGGCAAGATTTTTCAAGTGAAGGGACAGCGCATATAATTTTTATTGACAGCGAATGTCCACAGTATTCATAGCCAATTCTTGCCCTTTGCAGTGACATTTCTGTGGAATACGGAAGCATCCGTATACGGACACAAATAAGAGGAAGGATTACAGCTCCAGTGTTCAACAACATAAAGGAGCCCACATTACAGCTGGACCAATAGATCTTATTAATATTTTACAACGAAATGGGGTGAGTGTTTCGAGTAACTCTATTCAACTCACACTGACTCATTGCATTGGACGCTGGTAAATGACTTGCTATGAGAGAGAAAAGTTGAGGCTATGCTGCAGTCAATCAGGACCATATCTCAAAAGGTCAGGACAATGCTTTTTAATATTGTGGTACCTTGATCTTGAGTTAGGGTACCTATAAATTGCTACTGATAAATTCAAAAACAGTGAGGGCACCTTGAACACTTTGATCTATCATTGTTATTTTCTACTCCAGTTGTCTATTCATGTTAACATATTTTTGTTGTTGTATGAAAACATAATCTTGATGTATGCAGTCAGTGTGTGCTAATTTCCTTCTTCCATAGAAAGAATACCTCTACTGCCTTATAAGATGTATTCTCAACATCGAGAAAGGTGAGTTGCTGTTATATTACATCCTGTGCACCTACTCAATAGCCCCTTCTGTCTGTGTCCTTGTTTCAGTTGTGGCATATTGACTACATAGTCCAAATTAAGAGATCCATCCCAACATTTGGCAGTATGGGGGTGGGGTGCTTATATTTATCCTGTTATACACGTGTGTAATGGATTATTTTATTTTTTTTGCCTATCCCAACTCCCCCTTAGACACCCGCAGGGAGTGGAATCATAGCTAGTGTCACCATTGTCCAGGTCCCCTGGAGAAATTGGGGTTAACTGCTCAAGGGCACAGCAACAGGTTTTCACCTTTTCAGCCGCAGGATATGAACCAGCGGCCTTTCAGATACTGGCCCAACGTTCTAACCTTGAGACTATATCTGCCACCCCATGCTTGACAATAGTCTCTTGTGTCTAATAATAGTGTGCGGATGTTTGATCATAAAGCAAGTATGTAGAATGGCTCTGGAATTACATCTCAAAGTTTTGGAGTGATGTTGATATGCATCTAATGAGAATATCACACTAGCTATATTGTTTATTGATGTTATATTGATAATAAGTGGTTTCAAACTTGATTTTCAAAGTAAACCAGTTAGTTTTTAGTGCTGTTTATCTGTTTATCCCACATGATGTTAGTGGTACTGCAGAGACCACCACTACCTTATTTGAGCAGTACATTTCTGTAATAACTCTACTGAGGCCCTGACCTATTATTGCTGTATTAATTCAGGGAGAGAAGTTCTCCCAGCGCAGTGTGCCCCAGAATCTCCTCTAGAAAAGCATCCATGTAAATTATTCTTTTTACAGCGTAACACTTCTACAACAAGGGTACATTAATTAACATGAATTAAAGCAGTTGTAAACCGTAATAGATTATTAGGTAATGTATTTATCAGGTTATCGATAAAGCAGTGTTGTGGAATTTCCATCGCCAGAATATGTAGTTTTTTAATTATCTGAAATCTGATCTTCTCGCTATCTCCTATCATGGTGGAATTCTGCTCACCTATTTAACCGCTGGAGCATATACAGTATAATTAAACCAATCAATATTTTTAAACTGTGTGCAGGGTTGAAATTACAGAGGGGCTGGGCACCCCATAACAAGGCCCTCTTATAACAATTGAAATATCAATGTGAGCCCCCCCCAAAATGGTCAAATATTTTAGACACCCCTGAGAGTCGATGTATAATTTGAACCCTGGTTGTGTGTGTGTGCGAATGTGCGCATACAGTGTGTGTGTGTGTGTAGCATATGTACACACAACATATGTACACCACATTCTACTAAGCCATGTCCATCTGTCTAACATGAAGGATGAATAGCGGATCCTGGAAAGAGAGCCGTTATACAGTTAGCTTCCACAGAGAGACAGTCGTCTAAAACATGATGCATTTCCTCTGGTCTCTCATAACGCTACACCTCCTTTGCACTCTGGGAATGTGTGTGGACCTAAAAGAGGCAGCTTTGATGGCTCGCTGGCATCCCAGTGGCTCAGGCTGTGCAAGTGATCTCATCGCATTGGGGTGATCCCTGTGGAGCCAGGATCCAGTGATAGTCAAAGTTGCTCCCTATGATAGTGTCCTGAGACCCAGCAAATCATTTTTGTCCACTCTAATGGACATTGGTTTTTGGTCCGTATCTTTGAGGCCATACATGTCACTGTGTTAAGGCCTGTTGTTCCTTTGAGAGGACATTCTGCGCTTTTCAATGATATCAAGTGTGGTGGTGTGACCTGGATAACTTTTTCAAAATGGCAGCCAACACAATTAGCACATTTTATGGTAAGAAAGGTAAGTGTGTAGTTGTGTATTCATAATTTGTGTGAGTTTGATATTCAGATTGCTTCTAGTAAGGTACCAAAAGCTCCACGATGAAAATAGCCTTACCATAGAGAGAGGCATTTTAGTTTAACCCAACAATGTCAGTCAATTGCAACATATCTAAGCTAATGATCGGGAAGCTTTGGTGGCAAGTGGCAACATGGTAGCCATTACATTTTCTTGTCTCAATGTGAGTTTGCCAAACTGTGTAGCCTATCTCCCGAGTGGCGCAGCAATCTAAGGCACTGCATCTCAGTGCTTGAGGCGTCTCTACAGACCCCCTGGTTCGATTCCAGGCTGTATCACAACCGGCCGTGATTGGGAGTCCCATAGGGCGGTGCACAATTGGCCCAGCGTCATCCGGGTTTGGCCGGTGTAGGCCGTCATTGTAAATAAGAATTTGTTCTTAACTGACTTGCCTAGTTAAATAAAAAATAAATCTCTCTGACTCTGTTCCACAGTACTGCTCCCGTCCCCTGTCTGGTCAACCCTCTGATCAGTGTCTGTCTGAGCCTGGGGGTGGCTGCCTGCCTTATAGAAGCTGGTTATTAAGCATGAGATCAGCTGACGAGGGGGATTACCATGTGATGAGACAGAGAATTCTGCTGTCTCGGTCCAAAAGCCCATCGTGTGTGTGTTTGAGAGAGAGGGAGTATGTGAGTCTGCTTTGATGGTGATAGTTGTTATTAGCAGTAGGGTTAATGTGACGAAAAGTCTTGACATGGAAGGTAATAACGCAGGCTAGCTGGCAACCAATAGTTGTCATTGTAAGCAAATTATTTTTGTATACTTGGGATTCTTGCAGTTAAAATGGTACACCAAAACACCAAAACTCCTGAGATTTAGAGATCCTGGCACATAGAATCAGAGCAAGGATTCAATCCCATGACCTTAAATCCATCCTTCAAAGATATTGTCTGCTTACCTCCATCACTGGATTTGTGTGTCACTGAAGAGGTCAGACTTGAGTTTCATTTGGATACAGCTTAATGTCCACAGTGACCTGGTATTTGCCATGCCATGTCTTAAATCATCCATCAATTCTTTAGTTGATATTTGTGATTGATTTATTTTACTTATTAGCTTTCATCAGCCAACGAAATGGACAGGATCGTCACTACCATATGTTGTTATAATAATCCACTACTGCTCATCCATACGTAATAAACTACAGACACTTAAGATCATGTTGCTCATGTCAGTATGACATTTGGTGGGTTACTTTGTACCAACAAGCCTCTAACTGCAGCGGATTGTATGTCCTGCATAGCTTCTCAGCTTTTAATTGAATATGATGAAAAGGCAAACTATCAATCTGTAGCGTCAAGGTAGAATCCTTTTGACTTTATTGTGTACGTAATCCAATGGCTTTTCGAATGAACTTTTTTTTTACAAAGCCTAGACTTCCGTAGTTTGATCTCCTCTTGAGCTATTGTCTGCTCTGCTCCGTACAGTCTCTGGATTTTAACTCTCCCTCTGTGTGAGATCTTTCCCCTGTTGTCATTCGGATTTGGTTGAGTTTACATTTTCCGTGCCACAGTTGCCAAACCGTACTCGAACAACAGTGACATTGTTGCTTTGAAATATTTACCTCGTATCTAGGATACTTAGCATGGTCACACTGGCAGGAGAAGGGATGGGGAGGGGACTTGGCCAAAGGTTCAGAGCTTTTTAGTCAACGGTCTTATGCCAACCACAACCACAGGCAAATTAGGGTAGGACTGAGAGAGCTGCCAAAGGTGACACCAACATCTGTAGCATTATGGCAGCCAGTCAAGTATGGGAGCTGTGTCCCATTATGGGAGGATTAGGAGGTTGTTGTTCCTCCACGAAAGCACAAAGAAATTGCAGACATTTCTTATTCATCAGAACATGAACAGTAAGTAATGCGTTTGTCCGCAAGTATGAATTGTCAATTTGTTTAGTGAACAGTATTCAATCTTTCAAAGAATGGAAGAAATGTGTCACTCTCCCACTGCACTGATAATAAAATAATTATTCAGAAAAATCTTGATTTGTGAGTCAGAAACAAAGTTGTCTTTTCGTTAGTCTTCACATACTCAAATTTGCAGGGCTTTGTAGGGAATAGGAAACTCTTGGCCACCATTTGTCTTCACATGCTTAGCTCCGTTTCCACGCTTTCCCCAGGGAGCAGCCAATCTTCAGCGCCAGGGCCCATGTGTTCCAGATCGACCCGAACACCAAGAGGAACTGGATCCCCGCCAGCAAGCATGCCGTCACCGTCTCCTTCTTCTATGATGGCAACAGGAACGTGTACCGCATCATCAGCGTGGGTGGTACCAAGGTGAGCCAGGCAGCTGTACTGTGGTCGTCACTAGTTACCACAGCCACAAAGTCATAAACCCAGCCTATTTCTACAATTTGTCTTCTTAAAATGTGATTTGAAACCACAGGAGGCTGCTGAGGGGGGAACGGCGCAAATGGAATGGCATCAAACACCTGAAAACATGTGTTTGATGTATTTGACACCATTCCACGGATTCCTCTCCAGTCATTACCACGACGAGCCAGTTCTCCCCAATTAACCACACAGCTAACCTTATGCCAAACTTCAATTAAGACCAAAAAGCACATTTTCTTTTTGATGAACTTTTACAATATAGCCAATTTTGACTTTGTGGCTGTGGTAACTAGTGGAAACCCTGTACTGTGTAGTGGGATGACTCTCTGGAACATGAATGCAGGCCACAGTTAGATTATGTGAATGTGTGGTCTTGTTGAAAACTGTGATTAAGGGAAAACATCCCTTTTCAGGGATTTTCATAGGATTATGTGCATTTGTTAAGAATATGGTCTCAAGTTCACAATCATTTGCTTCTAGCAAATATAGCATTGTCCAGCTTGGAAAGGAGAGTAGCTAAATATGGGTCTGGAATATGTAGCAGGTCAGCCTGGGCCTGTTTAAGATTGTTTGTGTTCACTCTTACTTTCCGCTGTAAAGTTATTATCCTTCCAGACCTTGGTTAATAATAATAATAATAATAATAATAATAATAATATATAAATAATAATATGCCATTTAGCAGACGCTTTTATCCAAAGCGACTTACAGTCATGTGTGCATACTTTTTTACGTATGGGTGGTCCCAGGGATCGAACCCACTACCCTGGCGTTACATGCGCCATGCTCTACCAATTGAGCTACAGAGGACCACTTGTCCTCGATGCTAGACATAAAAGCAGTGGTTCTACACTTGTATTAATTTAAAACCAATTAAGCCATTGTTAAGTCAAGAAGAACTGGATCAACGCTCATCTTCCTCACAAGCTTTGGATTTGGATAGACTCCCCATGCCGCCCTGGAATGTATCTGATCTCCCCTTAACACCTCTGGTCTGACCCACATTCCCCACTCCCTGCAGACCCTGTGGTCAGCAGCCCAATTCCCCCCGTCTTGTGTCTGGCAACGTGGTAATCTTTTGTACCATGTCATGTGAAACATGTTGGCCCAGACTCTCGTAATCGTTTGTTAAAAAACCTCCTCTTCTTTAAGCTGCCCTTGCCCTCTGATTCTGGGTGTTTAAGTCAGTTATATTATAGTAATTCTGCAGCTGACGCAAAAGGTTATAAATAGGTCTGCTTAATGTTTTTTCTCATGTGACCTGAAACAAAATGAGGGACTGTAGCCACGTCTCTGGCTGCCTGATGCAATGTTTTTTAATCTGTTGAAAGGGTAGGTCAGTCAAAGAAATGCCATTTGTTGGTTACATCTGAAAAATAATGCAAACCATTGATTGCCAATGCATCCACAGTCCAATCTGAAACATGGGCATGTCACATTATCATAATATTAGGCTCAAAAGACCTTTCCAAAGGAGTTAACTGTTTTTTTAAACTCCAGATGTGTATAAACATCTGTTTGTACAATGCATTTGCAACCATCCATTGGGATATTCTGTAAATACAAACAGATGCTCCCGTAATGAGCCCAGAGATTTTACTTCTGTTCTGAGAAAACAAGTCCTCGCTTTGGCGTAAACATTAATCATTATTTGTATTGCATGATAGCTATTGATGTTCATCAGGTGAGGTGAGGAAGTGCTACTGCAGTAAGTAATGATTTTGTCCAGAAAAGGGTTAGCTAAAATGCAAAAATTGTCCCTGACGCAACTCGAACATTTCTAGCTACAGCCAAGTCTGCCCTGAGAACAGTCTTGGTTTCCACCAATGCGATTCTGCTCTTTCCTCAGGCCATTATCAACTGCACCATCACAGCTAGCATGACGTTCACCAGGACCTCGCAGAAGTTTGGCCAGTGGGCGGACAGCAGGGCCAACACGGTCTACGGCCTGGGCTTCGCTACAGAGCAGCAGCTGCATCAGGTGATGATCTCAATTCACTCCACATTAAGGGTCTGGTGTCCTAAAATAATGTAGTTCATTATGGACAAGCATTTATCTCTTCTCCCTCCTCAGTTTTCTGAGCGGTTTAAGGAGGTGAAAGAGGCTGCCCGTCTTGCACGTGAAAAGTCCCAGGATAAGATGGAGTTGGTCAACACTGCTCTCAGCATCGCTGCCCCACAGGTGAGCTCTGACATAAGCACAGTGCCTCAGTGCAAAAACTCCAGTGGTCTTTCAGAAACATTAGGGAAATTGTCAAAGTATAGTGGCCAGTTATTCCACAACTATTTAAGCTGCTTTTAAGAGAAAAGCCTCTGAGGAATCTTATAGAGACAGCCATGTCTGAGGAATGTTTGAGAGTCTGTGGAACTCATGCAGTGGTACACATCGAGGTACTGCTATCTCCCAGGCATTTTCGCAGGCTGGGAAAGAGGAAAGAGATGGGAAGGAAGGCGTAAGAAGGATGAGTTGGGTCATTTGTCTCTAAGGAAAGTGAAAGGAAAACTAGGGCGATGGTAAAATTATCCAATGCAGCCCAGTGCTCTGCCTGGCTGGCTGTGTCTGCTCACTGCAGAAGCCCCTGAAATGATGAAAATGTAGTCTCGCTCACGTCAATTGATCAATAGAGAACAATTATCGGTCAGCTACATCTGCCTGGTCATGAGAAACTTGCCTGACCCTCCTCAATTTTGTGGCTGAGTCGTTTTCAAGTGGTGTCTCTCATTCCTCATCCAGCACAATTAGTGATGTAATGGCGATGTTGAAAAACCAAACCTCTGGAAAATTGTAAACTAGTCAATTAGATGCATTTCTACTAAGTAGCACTCTCTTAAACATTTTAATTTCATTGATCACTAGACTATTATGATTATGGCGGTCAGAGGTTAACAAAATGTTTAATATAAACTGGGTGGTTCGAGCCCTGAATGCTGATTGGCTGACAGCTGTGGTATATCAGACCGTATACCATGGGTATGACAAAACACTTATTTTTACTGCTCTAATTACATTGGGAACCAGTTCATAATAGCAATAAGGCACCTCAGGGGTTTATGGTATATGGCCAATAAACCACGGCTAAGGGCTGTGTCCAGTCACTCCACGTTGCGTCGTGCATAGGAACAGCCCTTAGCCGTGGTATATTGGCCATATACCACACCTCCTCGGGCCTTATTGCTTAAATATACAGTGTGTTGAATTGATATTGGTGTGTTCTTTATTCTCTTGCTATCGGATGACTTGGGGTTTCTCCTCCAGTTCTCACAGGTGGGTCTCATGTTTGTTCGATTTCCAACCTTCGCCATTCACGTCTAAGAATGGCCAATTGTGGTGCCATTGTGCTATGACAAAGAATAGTCCACCAAGCCAAACAAATCCAGTGTCTTTGTCTTCGTGAGGTTGAGTTGCTTAGAGTTTGATTAACATAACAGTAGTATGGTCGATCCTCAAAATTTGGCATGCTGCTGAAATTGATGTCCTTGAAATATCTTCCGGTGACATCAGCCTCTCTGATGCTGCTGTTGTGACAGAGGGCTACAGTGCCGGGGAAGGTGTCCACAGCGTAGACGCTCAGAGGAAAACAAGCTGTTGCTTTATCTCACAACAGCAAACACCTACTCCGTCATGAAGGGGTAGATATCATTCACTCCCCATGGCAAAACTATCGCGTACTGAAAAGTGTAGATAGGAGTGATGTAACTGTGTAAGGATGACGTATAAACCACGACAGGTAGGGAATATTTAGCCAGATAGCGCCAGACTACATCATTATATTACTCATACTTTTCCCATTAAGGATGGTAAAGTCAGGACATTATATACAGTGCATTCGGAAAGTATTCAGACCCCTTCACTTTTTGTTACATTACAGCCTTAATTCTAAAATGGATTAAAATTCCCTCGTCAATCTACACACAATACCCCATAATGACAAAGCAAAAAACAGTTTTTTTGAAATTGTTGCTAAACTTACATAAGTATTCAGACCCTTTACTCAGTGCTTTGTTGAAGCACCTTTGACAGCGATTACAGCCTCAAATCTTCTTGGGTATGACACTACAAGCTTGGCACACCTGTATTTGGGGAGTTTCTCCCATTCTTCTCTGCAGATCCTCTCAAGCTCTGTCAGGTTGGATGGGGAGCATCGCTGAACAGTTATTTTCAGGTCTCTCCAGAGATGTTCGATCGGGTTCAAGTCCGGGCTCTGGCTGGGCCACTCAAGGACATTCAGAGACTTGTCCCAAAGCCACTCCTGCGTTGTCTTGGCTGTGTGCTTAGGGTCGTTGTCCTGTTAGAAGGTGAACCTTCGCCACAGTCTGAGGTCCTGAGAGCTCTGGAGCAGGTTTTCATCAAGGATCTCTTTGTACATCTTTCCCTCGATCCTGACTAGTCTCCCAGTCCCTGCAGCTGAAAAACATTGCCACAGCATGATGCTGTCACCACCATGCTTCATCGTAGGGATGGGGCCAGGTTTCCTCCAGACATGATGCTTGGCATTCAGGCCAAAGAGTTCAATCTTGGTTTCATCAGACCAGAGAATCTTGTTTCTCATGGTCTGAGAGTCCTTTAGGTGCCTTTTGGCAAACTACAAGTAGGCTGTCATGTGCCTTTTACTGAGGAGTGGCTTCCGTCTTGCCACTGTACCATAAAGGCCTGATTGGTGGAATGCTGCAGAGATGGTTGTCCTTCTGAAAGGTTCTCTCATCTCCACAGAGGAACTCTGGAGCTCTGTCAGAGTGACCATCGGGTTCTTGGTCACCTCCCTGACCAAGGCCCTTCTCCCCGATCGCTCAGTTTGGCCGGGCGGCCAGCTCTAGGAAGAGTCTTGGTGGTTCCAAACTTCTTCCATTTAAGAATGATGTAGGCCAGTGTGTTCTTGGGGACCTTCAATGCTGCAGAATTTTTTTGGTACCCTTCCCCAGATCTGTGCCTCGACACAATCCTGTCTCAGAGCTCTATGGACAATTCCTTCAACCTCATGGCTTGGTTTTTGCTCTGTGACATGCACTGTCCACTGTGGGACCTTATATAGACAGGTGTGTGCTTTTCCAAATCATGTCCAATCAATTGAATTTACCACTGGTGGACTCCAATCAAGTTGTAGAAACATCTTAAGGATGATCAATGGAAGCAGGATGCACCTGAGCTCAATTTCAAGTCTCATAGCATTTAGAATAAGGCTGTAACGTAACAAAATGTGCAAAAAGTGAAGGGGTCTGAATACCTTCTGAATGCAGCCTCAGCTGGTCTTCCTCCTTTTCCTTTTACCTGTTACTGATTTCGATCTGGTGAGGGACCTGGATCTGTCAATCAGGTAGCTTAAGTTGAAAGAATGAACAAAAACCAGCAGACACTGCAGCCCCCGGGCTTATTTGGTATTGGTTTAAAGGGGAAATCTGCAGTTTTGGACTTATAATTTAGTGATATGTATGTACCCATTGATTGTTGAAGAATATAACTTATAAATGCCTCATGAGCTTAGTTCAACTGTCGTACCCCATCAGCACCCAAAATATACACTTGTTTTGCTCCAGTGGTTGTAAACAAAGTAAATGTAAATAAACACTGTAGAGCCTCAAAACATGGTTAAAACTATCATTTTCATATCATGGATGGTCAGTCCTTACCTCAATAGCTCTGTCTATGAATTTGAGAGTGGTTACATTTCTCCAGCCACATCCCTCAGCTTTTTACTAAAACAGTGTTATGTTATTGTTTTAACGGCAGATTGCCCCTTTAAAGTGTATTATTTGTGTTGTGTTTTAGGACCTCGGTGACGAGCTCCAGTCTCCGCCGGTGATGTGTGTGAACGGTCCTGAGGACAAGATGTTCCGCAGCCAAAGCGCAGACATCACACTGTCTTCTGAGAAGGAGCGCATTAAAAAGATGCTTTCTGAAGGGTAACCCACTTATACACACTCTTGCCCTCAAAGTTTCACTCAAGCCAGGGTTTTTTTCGTTGTCTGAAAGTACACAGAATGTTTTGTGGAAATGTTCTTGGTCTTAAACTCGAGTGTTCCATTTTATAAGGTAAGATAACGGTCTGGGTCTCTAAGGTTCAGACACAAAAACAGCATTTAGGCAAATGCCAGAGCCGGTGCTTTCAAATCAAATCAAATGTTATTGGTTGCGTACAAATATTTTGCAGATGCAGCGGAATGCTTATGTTTCTAGCTCGAACAGTGCTGTATTCCTAACAATACAAAACAATACACACAAATCCAAAACTAAATTATTAAGAAATATCAGAACAAGCAATGTCAGAGTCCGGAATATAAATATATATATATAATGGTGTGTATAGACAGTATGGACAGTATATGAATAGGAAAGGTGTGTACAGCAGTAGTTATATAGGATGAGCCTTGACTACAATACAGTTTATACATATAAAGTGGGTAAAACAGTATGTAAACATTATTAAACTGACCAGTGTTCAATGACTATGTATATAGGGCAGCAGTCTCTAAGGTGCAGGGTAGAGTACCGGGTGGTAGCCGGTTAATAACAGTGACTAAGTTCATGGCAGGGTACTGGGCGGAGGCCGGCTAGTGGTGACTATTTAACAGTCTGATGGCCTGGAGATAGACGCTGTTTTTCAGTCTCTCCATCCCAGTTTTGATGCACCTGTACTGTCTCCGCCTTCTACATGGTAGCGGGGTGAACAGGCCGTGGCTCGGGTGGCTGAGGTCCTTGATGATCTTCTTGGCTTTCCTGTGACACTGGGTGCTGTTGATCTCTTGGAGGGCAGGCAGTGTGCCCCCGGTGATGTGTTGGCTGACCACACCACCCTCTGGACAGCTCTGCGGTTGCGGATGGTGCAATTGCCATAACAGGCAGTGAAACAGCCCAATAGGATGCTCTCGATGGTGCATCTGTAGAAGTTAGTGAGGGTCTAAGGGGCCATGATGAATTTCTTCAGCCTCCTGAGGTTGAAGAGGCGATGTTGTGCCTTCTTCATCACACTGTCTCTGTGGATGGAACATTTCAGGTTGTCAGTGATGAGCGCGCCAAGGAACTTTAATCTTTTCACCCTTTCGACTGCGGCCCTATCAATGTGGATGGGGGCGTGCTCTCTCTGCTGTCTCCTGAAGTCCACAATCAGCTCCTTCGTTTTGTTGAGGGAGAGGTTATTTTTCTGACAGCACTGTGCCAGGGCCCTCACCTCCTCCCTGTAGGCTGTTTCGTCATTGTTGGTAATCAGGCCTACCACTGTTGTGTCGTCAGCAAACGTCATGATTGAGTTGGAGACGTGTGTGGCCACGCAGTCATGGGTGAACAGTGAGTGCAAGAGGGGGCTGAGCACGCACCCTTGTGGGGCCCCAGTGTTGAGGATCAGCGTGGCGGAGGTGTTGTTGCCTACCTTCACCACCTGTGGTCAGCCCGTCAGGAAGTCCAGGACCCAGTTGCACAGGGAGGGGTTCAGACCCAGGGCCCTGAGCTTAGTGATGAGCTTGGAGGGCACTATGGTGGCCCGTGTCGGCGGCTCAATGTTTTCCTCGAAGAGGGCGAAGACGGTGTTTAGCTTTTCCGGAAGCGAGGCAGCGGTGTGCGCGGTGTGGCTGCCTTTCCCTTTTTAATCCATGATTGTCTGGAGTCCCTGCCACACGCGTCTCGTGTCTGAGCCGTTGACTCCACTTTGTCCCTGTACTGGGGTTTTGCTTCTCTGGTTGCCTTACGGAGGTCATAGCCGGTCGGTTTGTACACGTTCCCAGTCACCTTGCCTTCGTTAAATGCGGTGGTTCGCGCTTTCAGTTTTGCGCGAATGCTGCCATCTATCCACAGTTTTTGGTTTGGATAAGTTCTAATCATCACAGTGGGAACAACATCCTCTATGCACTTCCTGATGAACTTAGTCACTGAGTCAGTGTATATGTCGATACTATTTTCAGAGGCAACCCGGAACATTTCCCAGTCCACGTGATCAAAACAATCTTGTAGTATAGATTCCAATTGGTCAGATCAACGTTAAACAGTCCTTACTACGGGTTAAAGTTTCTGCCTACTGCAAAGTTGGCTAGGAGCTAGGAACAGGGTGACCATGTCTGTCGGCGACATCTTGCTTTAGTTATGATTACCTGTTTTTATGAAGTTTTTCCCATTTAATAAACATGTTAATAGAAACAGGGTCCAGACAAGAGAAAAAGGTGCAAAGCTAATGTGATGACTCACACAGAGGGAGGTTACCCACATGCACTCACTACTGTAAGTCACTCTGGATAAGAGCGTCTGTTAAATGACTAAAATGTGAATATTACCCTGCCATTCAGTCACCCATTCTACTCTGCTTTTGTCCCTGTTGTCCATTATCCTGTTATCCATTATCACTACACAAGGCTTATTTTATGGTTGCTATGGTGAGTTGCTATGATTGGATAACCTCAAGCTTTCTAATACTAGAATAACATGGCATCTAAGAACATGGAACAGGAACATATTTAATGGACCAATTGCACAAATTATACCCCAGAGTTGAACAAGTACGGACACTCTTGATTGCCAGTCTTTATCATTAAGCCTCTCTCCAGCATGTAGTGAATGTCCCCTCAATCTGTTCCTTTCCAGAGTGGCCAGAGAATGTTTTTCTGAGGTCTTTGTCAATGTCTTCCAGGTCTATCTGTGAGATGAACCTGGAGGCAGAGCTCTTCACCCTGCAGGACAGCAACTCCAAGCTGGTGGCAGCGTTACATGAAGCTAATACCAACGTGGAGCAGTGGAAGAAGCAGCTAGCTGCCTACCAGGAGGAGACAGAGAAGCTACGAGACCAGGTGAGTGTTGTCATGATGAAAGGTCCACCGGATCCCTTCACTTTCTTTAGCATACAACTATGGACGCCATGTCAGATCCGTTTCCACAAATGTTGAGTGGACCAAATCTCAGTGGAATGCTGGGTAAATGTTAAAGTTTGTATTTATGCAAGTGCATGCAACCACTCAAGAAAACAGAATTGTGAAAAAGACATTTGTAGAAATGTAAAGAAATGTTACCTGGATGTAGGTATGTTCTTCAGCTTTTGTACATTCCCAGTTGTGCAATGGAAAGTACAATAAAATTCATTACCATAGTGCATGATGAAGATTTTAAGTTATTTTCAGCCTCTTGAGGAATAGGCACGTGCCTGATGCCTCGCCTCACGTCACGTTCGCTCACTCCATAAATATCTCCACGCTGTGACCTGGAGGTCAGATGTTGATAGTTAAGGTCACATCTAATTATCAATGCTGGTGCTGTAAAACGCTGCAGTCTGAGTGGAGAGAGAATGCGGTGGACCACTGTAGCAGCAAAGTCTTGTTCAAACATGATTGGCTGATGAGTCACTGCTGCTGATAATGACAATGTTTGAAAGTCTCCGGCGTGCCCGTTCTCTGCCGGGGGAGGTCATGCAGGTTTTGATTGGGTCATCGTTTTCATGCAATGGTTTTTTTTTTTGTCTTGTGAAAGTCTTTGGGAAAAAAGTGAAAGGACACATCGGTTGGTTGCTCACTTTATCATCCTCTGACAACACTGTCCTTGTCAGGCTGCAGGCTTTTCCCCTGAAGCTTTATTCAAGGTGTGTCGGTTGGTTTGGATTACTGGGCAGTATAAACATGCTCTCTTTGCATGCTCTCACTATCACACCTAGTTCTCTAAGGCGTCATTAGTCTGAATGCAGAGAATGTCATCCATCTGTGGCTTGGAGTACACATGGAATCCCATTTACCTCCAATCCCTGAGATATACATGTGATACATGGGATTACTAGACAAGTGGATGATGAGACATTCTCCATTGCGTCAATACTAAATGGGTCCAGTCAATTGAAATGTTTTGTCTGTTTTTTCCACTTCTATGTCATCAATATAATGTATTTTCAGGGTTGCTGGCTGCTTAGAACTTATGGAATATGCTGGCTCCGAGCCGTTGATTAAAAACCTTTGGATTCGAACACTTCAATTGTTAGAGTGGTCTGGGCTTATAATGCCTAGTCTAGCCCGAGAAATTGATCTCCACTATTATTCTACCATTTCATACAGTGTTTCTGTTGTTGTTTAACTGTACTGTGGATATATATCAGTAGTCCCAGAAAATGTTTATCCTCCACGTCTTTACATTAATCTTCCTCTAAAAATGCAAGCCAACCAGGGCCCGGTTTCCCAATAGCGATAGAACCTAGGCTTACGAGTGATTTAACAATGAATCTTTCCTACAACAAATGAAGATGTAACATAGTGTTGATAGTGATTGGATCGAAAGAAAGGAAGCGCTGCTTTCAGATCAGCTTTATCCATTCAAATCTTACCTTAACATTAGAATGATTTCACAATACTGGCGATGTATCAGCTCTTACGAGTTCAAGTGCAACGTTAATAACGATGGTTTTGGGAAACAGCTCAGAGATTTAACGATTCTACAATGAAGGTTCTAATGATGAACTTAGCCTTAAGATGTTTTTGGGAAACTGGGCCCTGGTTTCCCAAAAGCTGCAAATATTGCCTACCCAATACAAATGCACTAAATCACCGATTTGGCACATCATTGCGCACATTAGGCTACACATCATGAAATATATTGAGACAAATTACAGACAGTAACCTACAAGTAGAGAAATAAAACTCAGTTGATTGAACATATGATCGAAATAGGTCTATAGCCTACTGTTTATATTTTAATGCAGTTTTCATTTGAAGTATATTTGTATACATCGCTTGTTTATATCAATTGCATAGACATTGACAACTCTGTATTTGTAGCAGTAGTGGAAAAAGTACCCAATTGCAGTGGTGGTAAAAGTATGCAATTGTCATACTTGAGTAAAAGTAAAAATACCTTAATAGAAAATACTTAAGTATCAAAACTAAATGTAATTGCTAAAATATACTTAAGTATCAAAAGTAAAAGTATAAATTATTTCAAATTACTTACACTACCGGTCAAAAGTTTTAGAACACTTACTCAATCAAGGGTTTTTCTTTATTTTTACTATTTTCTACATTGTAGAATAATAGTGAAAACATTAAAACTATGAAATAACACATATGGAATCATGTACAGTAGGGAAAGTATTTGATCCCCTGCTGATTTTGTACGTTTGCCCACTGACAAAGAAATGATCAGTCTATAATTTTAATGGTAGGTTTATTTGAACAGTGAGAGACAGAATAACAACAAAAAAATCCAGAAAAACGCATGTAAAATTTTTTATAAATTGATTTGCATTTTAATGAGGGAAATAAGTATTTGACCCCCTGTCAATCAGAAAGATTTCTGGCTCCCAGGTGTCTTTTATACAGGTAACGAGCTGAGATTAGGAGCACACTCTTAAAGGGAGTGCTCCTAATCTCAGTTTGTTACCTGTATCAAAGACACCTGTCCACAGAAGCAATCAATCAATCAGATTCCAAACTCTCCACCATGGCCAAGACCAAAGAGCTCTCCAAGGATGTCAAGGACAAGATTGTAGACCTACACAAGGCTGGAATGGGCTACAAGACCATCGCCAAGCAGCTTGGTGAGAAGGTGACAACAGTTGGTGCGATTATTCGCAAATGGAAGAAACACAAAAGAACTGTCAATCTCCCTCGGCCTGGGGCTCCATGCAAGATCTCACCTCGTGGAGTTGATGATCATTAGAATGGTGAGGAATCAGCCCAGAACTACACGGGAGGATCTTGTCAATGATCTCAAGGCAGCTGGGACCATAGTCACCAAGAAAACAATTGGTAACACACTACGCTGTGAAAGACTGAAATCCTGCAGCGCCCGCAAGGTCCCCCTGCTCAAAAAAACATATATACATGCCCGTCTGAAGTTAGCCAATGAACATCTGAATGATTCAGAGGAGAACTGGGTGAAAGTGTTGTGGTCAGATGAGACCAAAATGGAGCTCTTTGGCATCAACTCAACTCGCCGTGTTTGGAGGAGGAGGAATGCTGCCTATGACCCCAAGAACACCATCCCCACCGTCAAACATGGAGGTGGAAACATTATGCTTTGGGGGTGTTTTTCTGCTAAGGGGACAGGACAAATTCACCGCATCAAAGGGATGATGGATGGGGACATGTACCGTCAAATCTTGGGTGAGAACCTTCTTCCCTCAGCCAGGGCATTGAAAATGGGTCGTGGATGGGTATTCTAGTATGACAATGACCCAAAACACACGGCCAAGGCAACAAAGGAGTGGCTCAAGAAGAAGCACATTAAGGTCCTGGAGTGGCCTAGCCAGTCTCCAGACCTTAATCCAATAGAAAATCTGTGGAGGGAGCTGAAGGTTCGAGTTGCCAAACGTCAGCCTCGAAACCTTAATGACTTGGAGAAGATCTGCAAAGAGGAGTGGGACAAAATCCCTCCTGAGATGTGTGCAAACCTGGTGGCCAACTACAAGAAACGTCTGACCTCTATGATTGCCAACAAGGGTTTTGCCACCAAGTACTAAGTCATGTTTTGCAGAGGGGTCAAATACTTATTTCCCTCATTAAAATGCAAATAAATTTATAACATTTTTGACATGTGTTTTTCTGGATTTTTTTGTTGTTATTCTGTCTCTCACTGTTCAAATAAACCTACCATTAAATGTATAGACTGATCATTTCTTTGTCAGTGGGCAAACTTACAAAATCAGTAGGGGATCAAATACTTTTTTCCCTCACTGTAGTAACCAAAGAAGTATTAAACAAATCAAAATATATTTTATATTTGAGGTTCTTCAAAAAGCCACCATTTGCCTTGATGACAGCTTAGCACACTCTTGGCATCCTCTCAACCTGCTTCATGAGGTAGTCACCTGGAATGCATTTCAATTAACAGGTGTGCCTTCTAAAAAGTTAATTTATGGAATTTCTTTCCTTCTTAATGCATTTGAGCCAATCAGTTGTGTTGTGACAAGGTAGGGGGGTATACAGAAGATAGCCTTATTTGGTAAAAGACCAAGTCCATATTATGGCAAGAACAGCTCAAATAAGCAAAGAGAAACGACAGTCCATCATTACTTTAAGACATGAAGGTCAGTCAATATGGAACATTTCAAGAACTTTGAAAGTTTCTTCAAGTGCAGACGCAAAAACCATCAAGCGCTATGATGAAACTGGCTCTAATGAGGACCACCACAGGAAAGGAAGACCCAGAGTTACAGTTGAAGTCGGAAGTTTACAAACACTTAGGTTGGAGTCATTAAAACTCATTTTTCAACCACTCCACAAATTTCTTGTTAACAAACTATAGTTTTGGCAAGTCGGTTAGGACATCTACTTTGTGCATGACACAAGTAATTTTTCCAACAATTGTTTACAGACAGATTATTTCACTTATAATTCACTGTATCACAATTCCAGTGGGTCAGAAGTTTACATACACTAAGTTGACTGTGCCTTTTAAACAGCTTGGAAAATTCCAGAAAATGATGTCATGGCTTTAGAAGCTTCTGATAGGCTAATTGACATCATTTGAGTCAATTGGAGGTGTACCTGTGGATGTATTTCAAGGCCTATCTTCAAACTCAGGCCTCTTTGCTTGACATCATGGGAAAATCAAAAGAAATCATCCAAGACCTCCGAAAAATTTTTGTAGACCTCCACAAGTCTGGTTCATCCTTGGGAGCAATTTCCAAACGCCTGAAGGTACCACGTTCATCTGTACAAACAATAGTACGCAAGTATAAACACCGTGGGACCACGCAGCCGTCATACCGCTCAGGAAGGAGACGTGTTCTGTCTCCTAGAGATGAACGTATTTTGGTGCGAAAAGTGCAAATCAATCCCAGAACAACAGCAAAGGACCTTGTGAAGATGCTGGA